TTAATGTCACTTAATGTATTTTTTTTCTTTCCTAGTCCTCTTTTTGACAACATGATAATCAAAGATATTAGTGTGAAAACGATCATAGAGTGTTGAGTTGTGAAATTTAGTTTGGACATGTATCTTTGTGCTCTAGTTTTATTATTACTCATAACCAAAACATGTAAAATTCCATCTTTTCGGTTATATCGTTTAAATAATCGGAACATATGAACGTGTTAACAGAACTTTATTTAAATCAAACCACTTTACTTGGTCGCCATGATGAATCTATAATCATGAGAATGTAGGAATTAATAAACTAAATGGTGGGATGGGGATAGGAAGATTGCCATTTGAGGAAAGGTGTGTTTCGTTAAATGTGTTTGGTCCATGAGAGGGGACATATTTAAGGTTTGTGTGCCAAATGGTTAAGTAGTTAACCATAAATGAGAGATGGGTTCATGAACATGGACGACATTGTCTCAACTTTATTTTGGAACTTGATGCACATGCCTTGTTCTCTCATCTATTCATTACATACATACATATATATGTATCTAACCTGGGTCACATCCATGACACATCTTCTCTCAGTAGCCACAAATAATAGAGCACTCACTTTTGACATATCTATAGACTTACTACATTTTTTTTTAAAAGGTAAGTTTTAATAAAATGCACAAGACGGAAAAAATTTATGTGATGAGTGATACAAATTAAGCGACTTTTATGGAATAACCTACGGTCTGTTGATTGACAAAAAAAAAAAAAACATATGGTCTATCAAATAAAATAAAATCTATATACTGAAAATATGTTGGACGGTATGCAAAGCCAAAACTAAAATATTCTATAGACTTATTACGATATAAGATTGTAATCTTTTATTATTAGTAAAGTATATGAGATCTTTTCGAAAACTTTACACAAGAAGAGGAAGAGAGGACCTTCTCTCTCTACCTTCTCTCTGCCTTCTCTCTACTTTCTCTCTTCTTTTCCCTCTTGGCTTCCGTTTGCCTCTCCGGTATGCCCTTCCGGCGCCGGAGAGGGCTCCCTCTTCTGTAATTAGCTTTGTGGTTCTTTCCTCCCGCCGGCATGTCGATCTTCATCGGTAAAGCTGTCCCTCCCTTCAGATCTGGTCTCATGGTGGTGGTTCCAAAGCAGGAGTCGGCGCGTGATGCGAAGAGATGCCGTTGTGTGGCTGCTGGGGTCATTTTCGGGTCGGCTGCTTGAGGACGGCGTCGTTCCTTCAGTGGCTTCCGGCGGATCTGGGTTGGTGTTTTTTCGTGCGTCGTTTCTCTTTGGTGGTTGGTATGGCTTTGGTGAGCAGGGGGCCCGAGTTTTTCTTCTGTTTAGCTCTTGTGGTCGGATCTGCTGACCTTTCCTCCTCCAGCTGTAGTGGTTGCTTCGCCGATTTGTAAGTTTTGGCTCTGTTTGGTGGGTTGGTTTGGGGGTGCTTTCATTGCAGGTCTTGTTTTGCAATCGGAGAGCAGCGGTGAGCAAGTTCTTTCTCCGACAACAGAGGCGTGGTTGTTTTCTCCCACTCGATGTGGTTGTGGCTAGGGTTAGGAGGCTGATAAGACCCGAGGTCGAGCTGCTCTGGTTTGAGGACGCCAGGGACTCGCGGTGGTGTCTTATCGTGGCTCTTCCTCCTTCCCGAAGCTGCTACCACGGCGGAAGTCGGTGGGGAAACGGTGGGTGCGTTGTTTTGTTAGGTGGTTAACCGATGGTCCTTGGGATTCTTGAAGGCTCTCGTGGATTCCGGGTTTTGTGGGTTAGTTTGAGCCATCATCCGCTGTGACCCGCCGCGAGGATGCATCCACCTAACCGGATTTGAAAGTTCTTTGCTCTGGGATTTCGGAAGTCGCGGATCGGGAGGGAGGTGTTAGATTCCAGTATGTTAGGTTGCTTGGATCGGGACTTAACATCGGTAGAACCGGTTGTCGGTTTTAAGTGTAGTCCAGGAGGTTTGTAGTGGGTTAGGTGGCTTATCGGATTCGAACTGGAGTTGGGATTCAAACACTTCCAATGATGGTTCTGATCTGGTGCAGCTGCCTCAAAACCGTGGGTCTCGTGTTTGCTGGAATTCCTACCTTTTCTCTGCCTCCGTCCATCAGCAGGATCCGATCTTCCCTCCGGTGACGCAAAAGACATTTTCTGTTTTCCCATTTTGTAACTGTTCTTCCTGTTGTAAACTCAAGGCTTTGGTCCAATTCTTGTTGGGAAGCCCAATTATTAATATATATATATTAAAAAAAAAAAAAAAAAAAAAAAAAAAAAAAAAAAAAAAAAAAAAAAAAAAAAAAAGTATATGAGATCGTAGTTATTAAAAGTCTTTTTCTTTTCTCTTGCGTTTTACATGTATAATAAGTTAATAACTATTTTGACCCAAAAAAACGACTATTTTCTTAATTAAAAATATCATATTGTGAAACAAGAAAACATTTCAAGTTTTCAATAAAATATATTTGTGAATGCTAAACGATTGTAGGTTTTTTTTTCTGTTTGTGTTATACAGTTACAAAATTGTTCAAAATACTAAAAGATTTATATGTTGTGGGGAAAATATTCCCATAGAGCTAGTTTTTTTTGCAAATAATTAAACAAACAAGAGGCTATCGTTAACATATCAGCAAAAGTACCTATAAAAACACTCTCGAGTCTCGACACATTATCAAAACATGTTTAAACTCTTTAACAATTTTCATTCCAAAAAAAAAACTCTTTAAACATGATCACCACATATGGCATGTTCTCTCATAACTTCTTTTATAATATATAGGAGATGAGATGATTTACACTTATATACTTTCACGTATAATGTTAAAACTAGTGAAAACTTATAAGACATTCGAAAAATGACACTCGAAATAGAAAAATAACGAACCAAACAGAATCGTCAACAATGTTGATGGCTGTACTTGTTCATACGATTTGTCAATTTATTTGTACCACTTGTTGAATTTGAATCCAAATAGGTTACGTAAGGTACATAATACCAGTAGCTCTCCGTCTTGATGGCACATAAAAATGTCTGAATTTGACCCTAATTCTAGAATTCGATTTCGATACCACCAAAAGTTATGGTCTCAAAGGCATATTTTCTCTCTTAAAACACTTTCTTTTACAAATTGACACGAAGAATAAGCTCTTTATATAGCGTTATATACATACTCTTGCCTTTTTTTTTCAAGAAGGGAATAAATTCAAAATGGAATGTTTTGTTCTATACATAATGATAGAGATATATCAGGTAGTTTATATTCTGTTATTGACAATACTTACAATTTCCATCAGTATATTGTCTTATGATTTTATGCATGAACTTTAGAATATTGTTGAAACTTGACTAGATAATTGATAATGCTTCATGATGTGATTTAAGCTTACCAACCCACTAATAACACATAAATCTATTCACAATCTCTCACGGCCTAGATTCCTACTTATATGCGTGTAATTTCATGTAACGTTAACATCACAAACTCATGTATGCCTCGGAGATAACATCACAAAATTTGACAATTTTTTGAATTTTCCATTTCAATTTTGTTTGAATTCAGCCACACAATTAAATCGTATTTGTAACATTCAAAAACGTCGTATATTAGTTTGATAGTCAATTCGTAAGATTTCTCAAGTGATTATCATGTAATGTAGATCATTGCGTGAACGAATAATATATGAAACAATCTCGACATTAATGGACCATAAATTCGATCAGGCCCAATAACTGATGATTTGCATAAACAGGCCTACGCCAATCTTTATACTTGCTTAGCATCTCTGCAACTTGTTAATTTTAGAAAGGGAAAAACACATTTTTAACCCTCAAAGTGTTACTGGGTAGCACTTTAAACTTTAAAGGAATTTCACTAGCACTATAAACCACCAATATAATTTTACTAACACTTTAAACCTCCAAACTAGGTTTTCTGTTTGTCCCACCATAAAAAATGATGGAAAATTTAATTTCTATTTGTTTAGTATACATTTATTTAATTTAATTTAAATTTAAATTAATTTTATTATTTATTACAATTAATTAAAATATAAAAAACTTTAATTTAAATTTAAATTAATTTTATTATTTCTTAAAATTAATAAAAATTCAAAAAAAAAACAAAAAAAAAAACTTCACCTTCTTTGTTTACTCACTGTTCGATCATGAAATTTCGAAATTAAACCTCTGAAACTTTAGATTTAAGAACAAGAAAGGTTTATAGTATAATAATATAAACCAAATAATGTAGAATATGAGGTACAAGAGAACCTTGAATAGAATAATAAAAACTAAAGATTGTCAAAATTTTGTGAGAAAACAAAGCATTCTCCGTATCGGAAGAATATAATTTTTTTTTTACGTTTCCTAATAATAAAAAAATCATAATAAATAATAAAATTACTTAAAACTTAAATTAAATTAAATAAATTTATATTAAACCAACATAAATTAATTGTTCCATCATATTTTATGGCGGTGCAAACATGAAAACTAGTTTGGAGGTTTAAAATGTTAGTAAAATTATTTTGGTGGTTTATAGTGCTAGTGAAATTCTTTTGAGGTTTAAAGTGCTACCCAGTGACACTTTGAGGGTTAAAAATGTGTTTTTCCCATTTTAGAAAGAAAGAAAAACCAAAGCAATGGTATATATCTCTATAACTATCAAAGTTAAGACAATCATATACAAATTAAGTCCAAATTTGATGAGATAAGTTCTACGTGACTACGTAACTTTGTTTACTATTAAAAAAAAAAAAAAAAAAAAAAAAAAAAAAAAAAAAAAAAAAAACTCTACTATCAACGATTGACAATATACAATGACTTGAGTTATTGTTTTTGAGAAAAAATAATAACTAAATTTAATCATAAAATTTCGTCAAACACAAAAATTTTTCCCAACGATTGGCTATAAAAATAAAGGTAAACCTATGATAAACTTAAATAAAATGCATAGTGATTAAACACTTGTTTTTTTAGAAAAATCTATAAACACTTGTTCACAACGTTAATTAGATTAGTCACCATTTATTTATTTTTAACACAACAATTAATCATGTAACTAACAATATAAATATGCACAAAGAAATTGACCATATCATCACCGTCGATACGATGAATTTCCTCAGTAAAGATCAAGAACGTCAAAGATCGAACGGTTACAAAGAGGACACGTCCCACGATTCATCCAAATCTCTCTTGAACATACTCTACAATACGTATGTCCACAGGGAATAAAAGCCGCACCTTTCTCTCTTCCCATACACACGCAACACAGTGGATCACTACCCAAACACGTCGTCGAATCACAACCGTCCGATTCCGCAAGCAACCTCATCAACGGTACTTTAGCAACTGAAGCCTCCTCCGCAGTCACGTGCGCTAATCTCTCCTCCGCTAAAGCTTCCGCAAGGTTCCTCGTCACGCCACGTGTCAAACAATCCAACTCCGTCCCCGTACCCGAACCCGGATCCGAAAAGTCAACGACCCGGTTTTGACTCTCTTCTTCTTCGTCTTCTTCATCATCGTCATCGACGACGATTGGTGTGTCCGATTGTCTGAGACGCAGAGTAAGAGGCTTACCACAACAACCAACCCAATCAAATCTCAGCCGTTGCTTCAACGTAGTCCATTTACTCATCGTTCGATCTCCACCGTTGATTTGATCTTCTTCTTCGAGCAAACTCAACATCATCGTCGTCCTCTCACTTCTTGTTCCATCTTCTGATTCTCTAAGCAAATCTCCGAGTTGACTCATCGTGACTCGGACCCGTTACAAAAAAAAAAGAAAAACAACAAATATATAACCGTTTTGAATCAAAATTCACGAGAAATATAAAAGCTTTAATGGCTCCAATCAATAAATGCTTAAGCAAGAATTCTTGTTTTTTTTTTTAGTTCTCTGAGAAGATCACAAATTTGGATATATATATATTAAATGTTTCATTTTTGTAATAATACATTATGTTATTAAAATGGAGTAAATGACAAAAATTAGGAGAATAATTAGTGGGAACCACTCAATAGTAACGTATATATTTGACTTACGTTTTGTATTATAGAGAATCGCACGTATTTCTCGATGTTATGATTTTATATTATTTTCATATTTTTGTTACATCGATTTTATATTATTTTTTCATTGGTTGGTTTGGTTTCTCTTCAGAAATAAGATTTTTGTCCGTTAGGGAAGGCAATTATCAAATGTTGCTTCTTCAAACAATTGTTCTTATATTAATCAATGATTGAAGGTGTTTTAGTATATACTAAACTTTTGAAACATTAAAAATAAAAATATGATCTTGGAGATCAACCAAAATTTCGTGACCAAACAAAAAAAACACAGAGATTAACAAAAGAATAATATTTGGGCCTAAAGCTGAAGGCATAAGCCCAAGGTACCAGGCCGATAATATTATTTTGGGTTTAAGAACACAGTCAAGAAGCTAGGTTAGGACAAGTTTAGTTGTTATTGATGGAGATGACTCGCCAATTCTTGTCTACATGTGGGATTCTAGCAACCATCTTCTTGAACTTGATATTGAATCATCTTTGTTTTTGATTTCTATTAGTAAGAACTTTAAAAACCATTGAACTTAATATTTCACCAAAAAAAAAAACACTTTAAAAAACAATGTCACTGGGTAACCAAAGAGGTTCCTACTACTTTCGGATTCGATACAACACATTTAGGTTATAGAGTTGCAATCAACCCAACTATACTGAATTTTGTGTGCTATTATTCTCTAACATTCTGCTGTTCAATGTCACAAATTTTTAGTTGTAATCATATATTCTCACTCTTTAATTACTAATCAAGTTAAATTGTGAATATTATGAAAGTGCATAACTAAAAATAATTTGGAGAAAGAAACGAAAAATTGTGTTCGATATACAACTACAACGAACATAAGCTATGAAGAATCGACTCAATTTTCTTGTTTTTGTTTTGTTTTGTTTACATTAATTCTTTGTTTTAGTCTTGTCAATAGATACCAAGTACCACCAATCAGATTGAGAGAAGCTATAGAATTAGTGAAAATAATTTGAGCATTGAAATCATATAAGGAATGAAAGAAAGGTAAGGTTGGGGTGGTCCAAATGTAAGCCATTATTGTTTGAATGTTTGGTATAAGAGGGGAACAAGGAGAATATCTATTTGACGTTTGTAGTTACCTATCAATCTCTTGTCTTATGTCGTTTCTATCATATCCTAACTTGAAGTTGTGGCTTGTGCACTATATATAATTAACTAGTATTCAACTTTTAATTTACCAAATTTGCTTTTGAATCCCAGTCAAACCTTAAGAGTTTGATCAGATGTTACAAGACTTAATATTAGATTATTAGTCAATTCTTTTTGACGATGACTAGTTTTGATTCTTTTTGTTTATTGCCTTCTTGAGTTTGAGAGAATACAAAACTCTCTACTCATTTCTATTTTTTCACTACATATAATTTTTTTGTTCATACTGTATATACCATAACAAAACCAAAATTTCGGATAAAATTAATCCCTTGTAATTTATGTCATACAATTATTTCTTTTAAATGCGTGATAATTCTATTTGTATCTAAACTTGAAATATCATTTAAAAATTATGCAAGACATTCTGAAAATTAATTTATATCGCAATTTCAAAATAACCATGGCGATTTTACATATTCTATTATGCCTTTAAATTTCATATGTTTAAAATTTGACAAAAAATATGTTTCAAATCTGATTGTTAAGAATATTGGAATATAAGTATATTTTATAGATATAGAAAAATCTTACAAGAAAGAAAACATGGCTAAATAATTTATTACTGAAAATATTGGAATATAAGTATGCTTATTATAACATGGCAAACAAAATAACAAATCCTTCGATAGTAGACAGAGGTGACGTAAAGCAAGGGAGAGAGAGAGAGTGAGAGATTGTAGTTTGTCTCCCTCTTCAATGACGTCTCACGACCTCACCTTTTCTCCTTTATTCTCTCTTCCCTCTATTTTTATTATTATTCTATGGATACACATTTCTCCAACATTCATATATTTATGTATAATTTTTTTTTTTTTTTTTTTTTTTTTTTTTTTTTTTTTTTTTTTATGTATAATTACGTACGTATCTACGAGTTTTTGTGTAAACATGTGGATGTGTTAATAGTGATGTGTTAATAGTGTGCTAAGGAAAACCCTAACCCTACAAATGTGCGACTACCTAAATTTTGGAATTTCTAGAGGTTGAATGCTTCCAACGTTATTAGGTAATTTTTCGACGTTTTAACAAATGTTAATATATCTCTTAATTACTTTACAAGTAGTTCATATCACTAACTCATAAAATAATTTGCGGATAGTTTAATGGTTTGCAGGAAAAAATATAATGATATTTTGTTATTGGATAGTATTTTTTTTTTTGGTTAATATTTTCTCACCGTTTTGTGTCATGGGATATACGGTACAATTTTTTGGTTATGAAAAAGAAAAGAAATAAAAAATACATTGTTGAAAAGGAAAAAATAAAAATAAATTAGTTCCACTTCCAGTATTCAATAAGGACATAAGATGTAATTAAATGTCATAAATATTGCCATTTTATGTTGAGATTGATATTTGTGGGTACGGTGATACCTTTCACGGGGAACCCTATGGGCCTACTATGATTTGAAGGTTACCATATTGGATATATAAAATACATACACTATATCATCGCCATCTTCATTATCCAGCTTCTTGAAGATGATATCAACATTCACCGTTATTGTTTCGGTGTGTCCAATCATGGTTGGACCACGTCCACGAAATAGATATCGAGTGAAAGTATCGTTGTTGAAGAGTAATGATACATGGTGTTTCTTTTTCTATAAAAATAATGATACATGATGTTTTTTTTTTCTGATAAAATAATGATACATGATGATGTTATTAGGAACAAAATAGCATAAACTTTTTATATATGGATTTTGAACGTATATATAGTCTCTTTTGTTTTACATTTAATTTACATTTAATTAAATGCGACGTTTTTTTTTATTAAAAACAAATATAACATGCATAAGCAATTTATATTTTATATTTAGGATTATTGTTGATTTTATCAATTTGTCACCCACCCAATTCTTTGAATTTTCCGTTTTGCGACAAATATTTTAGATTTGTTATTTTTATTACTTCTAAACTATAAATTTGTGAATTTGTTTTATAAAATACATACTTAATAACAAATACTAAACCCTCAAAGAATAGGACAAAAAAAAACTCAAATATACTGCGAAAAGTTGTGTTTTTAAATATAAAAAGTAGCTAAATCTAAAATATTCAATGCAAAATGGCAAAATCCACAAATGTCACAAAAAAAAAACATTGTCCTAGTTGATTATTTTTACTTTAAAATTACATTCACTTTCCACCACCATAAATTTCAATTAAAAAATGTGATACAAATTTGGTAATATTTCTTATTTTTTGCTCTCTACAACAAAAAGAAAGGTGAAAAAGGAAATTAGAGAGAATAAAATTCTAAGACAAAATTTGCATAAAATACCTAAATTATCTTTAATAAACACTTTTCCTATTAATGAGCTACCTAGTTGTGAGTTCAAACAACCAAAAGATTTGACTCTACAATTTTACAAAACTATGTGATTGTTTAGCCAATTCGAATGAAAATCATTTTTCTTCTACTATCTACTAACCAATCGGCTTTGGTATTAAACACATATTAAATAAGACTACACTGGCATGGCATATAATCTACAATGGTGTGTACATAAATGGACATGTTAAAATGGTACGGAATGAACGAATGAGTATCAGAGTATGACGTGTATGGCTATATACATATTATTTGGAATATGTGTTTGGTGAATACAAAATTATGTGACTAGTTTAGCAAGACATAATGAACCGTATTAGAAACCATGCACCCGTTTATGTATTTCTCTTCTTCTCTATCAATGCTTTGCTCGAGAGCATCGAACTTGGCACATGTTAGCACTTGAGAGTGCCTTCGCAGACCAGACGAGCTACAAGTGTTTGGCGGTACTACTATTTCTCTAAAAATGATGTTTTCTTCTTCAAATTTGTGTACCATTGGAGATTTTTTTCAAAAAAAGAAAATTTTAATCTCTCAAACAACCATTTTCATCCAAATAAGAAACTAACGGATTTTACCTTACCCAGATTTTCTTAATATATATATATATATATATATATATATATATATATAATACATATTTTTACAAGCATATATTTTGATAATTTGTATCAATATAATTAACACATTAAAACATATGAACTACCACTAAACATTTGTTACATGATACACAACAATATAGAACTTAAATTTATAGGGTCAAGACTCCAATAATGTTTGGTATTATTACAAAGCATCAAAGCATATAGAATCTCCGAGACATGTATCTACCTTTCTTTCTTTCTTTTTTGTCACGTATCTAAACATCAAGCATCCCATTATAACACAACCTAGCTGTCTTCAACAATTTTTCTTAAAGAGACGAAAAATTCAACTTCCTAGAAAGTAAAAACAAATTAAAAGAAAAGTTCTTTAAAATTTAATAGATATTTAAACAATTCAGGACTAGTGTCATCATCTTCATGATAGTCTGTTTTAAAGATGTGCAAGAAGTATGCAAAATCTCGACTTTTGTTTTATGCAGGTTTTTTTGGTCAATAACTAATCTCTTCGATAAACCAATAAAATATCCTTAACTTTTC